AACATGGTGATATTTCGACGGCAAGCCCACAGCTTGTTTTTAAGTTCATCCGGAATAGGTTTCATTTTTGCAAAAATCAAAATCAAACAAAATCTTGAGGAAAACAAAAAATCGAATACACACAAAATTTTGAAGAAAATAGAAAATCAAATTCAAACAAAATCTTGAGGAAAACAAAAAATCGAATACACACAAAATTTTGAAGAAAATAGAAAATCAAATTCAAACAAAATCTTGAGGAAAATAGAAAATCAAATTCAAACAAAATTTTGAAAAGTCTTCACGAAATCAAAACCAAAATCTTACAAAATCTTCACGAAAATTATAATCAAAATCTTGACGATAATCAAAATCTTGACGATAATCAAATCTTCCAAAATTATTAATGAAAACGAAATCGAAATCAAATAAAATCTTCACGAAAACGAAATCGAATTCTTGATGAAAATAAAATCTTCCAAAATCAAAATCATACAAAATCAAAATCTTACAAAATTCTTGATGAAAACGAAATTGAATTCGAATAAAATCTCCACGAAAACAAAATCGAAATCTTGATGATAATAAAATCTACCAAAATCAAAATCATACAAAATCTTGATGAAAACGAAATTGAATTCGAATAAAATCTCCACGAAAACAAAATCGAAATCTTGATGAAAATAAAATCTTCCAAAATCTTTAATCAAAATCATACAAAATCTTCCAAAATNAATGAATAGAAAAAATTAAAACATTTTCGATTATAAGATCGTTTCGAACAAACAGTTTCGAATTTCTGCTTCATGACACTTCTCTATAAAAGTTATACACATCAACCATTGTCTTCGCACCATACACCCAATGTTTCAGAAGGTGTAGAATAAGAATACTTTGGGGTTCATAATCAACAAGAGATCCAAAAAAAAATTGATTGTTTTCATCATTATATTTTTAATAAAAAATTATCAATTTTTTTTATTAATAAAAAGCAACTAGATTTTTTTTTAAATAATTATTCAACAAGTAATTTAGCTGCTTTTTATCATTATTACTATAGTTTTCTTTTTTGTTTCAAGAAAAAAAAATTACACATAATTATGTGAGTGAATTTGGGGGATTTTTCATTGTTAATAATTTCAAAAATTAAATTAACTTCAAGTTTTTCAAGAAAGATCATGGATAAAATCAGATAATCAAATCTAAATTCAAACACACACAAACACAGAGTAACACACGTTAACACAAGAATTTTAAATTATTTGGGGAAAAAAATAAACATTTTTTGTTCAAAAATTTATGAGGGAAGTAAGTGTGTTTGGTGTGTGTAATTGATTGAAAAATAAAACTTACAGAATTGAAATTTGAAAATAAAAAAACTAAAATAGGAAAAGGAAAAATGTTTAGGTTTAGGTTTTTGTTAATGTTGTGTAATCCACCATTAGAGAAAAAAAATGTTGATTGATTGATTTGATCAATCAATCAATCAAACAACAAGTCCAAAAGTGATCCAATAATTTATTATTGTGCGACGATTATGATGGATCATGTTGATGATGATGATGATGACGATGATGACAATAATAATGATTATGTGATTCGAACGTTACAAAAAAGGCATTTGATTTTTCTCTTTAAAAAAAACAATATTTCAAAATGGGTGGATTTTGTTTTGTCTGAATGTTTTAAAATAAGAAGAAGAAATGACAATTATGAAGTTTTATTGTTTGTTTGTCTGTTTGTTTGCTGTTGATATAATTTTAAATGAATTTTGTAAATTCTCACGGTATTTTTTTCAAATATATTTTTTTAAATCATCATTATCATCGGCCACATTTTCAATCACACGAAGGATTAATAAAATATGTTTCAAAAATTAATTAATTTCACTTTTTACCTAAAATTTTTGTTTTCATTTTCGAAAGAAAAAGAGAGAAAGAAAGAAAAAAAACACCATAAAATGAATTAAAAATTTTGCAAATAAAAAACAAACAAACAAAAGCTAAATATGCTTTATGAATTTCATTTAATTTTTATGAAAAAAAATTACACTCAAATAATGAAATGATTGTGAGGATGGTGGGGGGAAAAATGATTGGTTAGGAAAGATATGCAGAAGGGTTTAGTCATAGATCTCTATATATTTGCCATAAAAATTTTAAAGCTAAGTAATCTTTCAATGAATGCTGCTTTAATATGGAAAATTCAATGGAAGAAAAAAAATTCTTTTAGTATGTTTGAATAGAATGTTAAAAATCAAAAATATCTTGCTATTTTTTCTCTTAGGTCTGTTTTTTTCCCTAAACACCGAATCATGTTTATTGTGTAGTACATTCAGGGGGAACCTCTTTATCTTTAGCATGGCCTTTATGTGGTTTATTAGAATGTCTACCATGAAGACCATTTTGCGCACCTTTAGCTTTTAGTGATCTTTTATTCTGTGTATGGCCAGTTGTTGATTTATGTTTATCGCCATCATCTTCTTCTAATTCTTCTTCCTCATCTTCATCTTCTTCGTCTTCATCAAATTCTTCATCTTCGTCAAAATCACCAACATCAAAATCATCTTCCTCATCCCATGCATTGTCGATACCTTCACCAGTATAATAAATAATGGCTCTAGGTACAATATTCAAACGGAACGTTTCGCCAATATCAAAATCGCTTGCCAATAATTCTTTAGTATCTTCATCAGCTTCTTCAATTTTTTCTATATTTGCAGATAAAATTTTTGAAATGAAAAGAATAATTAGAAAAAATAAATTTCAATCATATAAAAATAAATAAGAGAAAACGAACCATCAGGTGGACTGAAAAAATTGAAAAATGAATCAGCTTTTTCCACTTTCTCAACTGTTTTCACTTGATTACTGCTACGATGTTTCATTTTTTTCGGAACTTTTTTCTCAGTCAAATTCATTTCAGGAGATTTCCAATCAATTTTACATCCTTTACAATGATTTACATAAAGAGAATCATAACCCAATGGATCAGTTGGATCAAAACCATCGGCATAATAATATTCTTTTGTAAGAACTTTATTGCTGAAATATTCATTATCGGCAAATTCAAATTCCAATCGATATCCCTTTTTATTTGAAAAATAACAATTATTGAAAATAATTGAAATTGCCGTTCACTTACCATTGGATTGTCCATTAATACACATCGAATATCAGTAATCATTGTTATGACTTTTTTATCTTGATCATGTATCATATCAGTCAATAAATCAAGATTAGCAAATATGGTTGACCAAAATCTTGGTATTCCTTTTTCTTTTGATTCAACAACAGGATCCTCTGAATCAGCATATTGATATTTACATTCATCTTCGGTGGGTACATAATCACCAGCAACAATCATACGTCTTTTTTCATTAAATTCTTTAAAACGTTCCTGATATTCTAATTCAGTTTGAAATATTTTCTTATTCATTTCAATTTCTAATGCAATACGTTCCAATGTTAGTTTTTTTAATGCCATTACCAATGGTGTGTTTGGTTGGCCATCTGCTGCAACCAATTCAAGATCTTGGCCACTGGAAATAATAATTAAAATAAAAAATTAATTCAGTCATAAAAATAGAAGAAATATGGACAATACCTTTCAGTAACTTGCATATCTTTGCTCATTTTATCTTTTATTTATGATAATTTAATTTTAAAAAAACGTATATTTATAACGGTCGTCAAGGAATGATTTGGAAAAAAAATTTCGAGTGATGGTAAGAATGAATAAAAAAATATGAATATTTTATAATAATCGAACTAAAAAAAATCGAATAGAACAAAACACATGGGAAATATTAATTAATTTTATAAAAAAAAGTAGGAAAATTTTAAAAAAATAGAAAAAACACGTGGAGTTGGCGTGCGTGTAACATGTGATGGCGTGGCTTATTTTTTAGCATTTTGTTTTCAACCAAAATACATCGATAATCGAATCTTGCATCATCATTATCAAAATCATTACTATCAATATCAATCAATGATACTAACCGGAAATTAAATTGAATTTTTTTTACTGGTTATGACAATAACCAATTAATATGGTTGTCGTTTGAAACAAACAATAAACACAGACACACAACCGAAACACAAAGGAAATAATCTTCTTCTTCAAAAAAAAATGTGGTAAAAGAAATAAAATCGCGTGGTCTCTATATGCGTTATATATTTTTATTATATGTGCCACACGGGTAACATGAAACGAATGAAAATACAAACGTAAAATTACACACTCTGATAATAAAAAAAATGAAAAGAAGTTAAAAACACGCTGATTCGTTTTTTTGGGTTTATATCGAATGAAAATGAAACATTCATTACCGTCAATCAATTCGAAAAAAAAAGGTAGTAGCATAAAAATTCCTTAGGAAAACAAAAATTCGAAAGGGTTTCTTGAACATTGATATTAGTAGTGGTAGTAGTGGCCAAAACGAAAAAAAAAATCCACAGTGTGAATATAGGGTGCTAATTCACACGCTTTATTACAATTCAGATTCGATTTTTTTTTTTTTGATTTTCGGGTGTTACACTCAAACACATTATAAATTGTGCTAGCAGCATTTGGGTGAAAAATTAATCTTGCAAGATTCATAGAGTATGTGACACAATTGAAATTGATATTAAAAGGTTATTTGGTTAAATCTTGAAAATATAAATAAGTTTCGAGTGAATTCGGGTAAATATCAATTTCCCTCATTTTAATCGAAAAAAATGGACATTCACAAACGGATTGAATAATTCAAATGAACGAAAAATACTAAAATTAGCAAACAAAAAAAACGAAAACCTTGAAAGAAAATTCTTGTTACCAACCTGATCTATTTATATGTTTGTTATATGATCCAGAAACCAGAATTGTTGATAATTCATATAATACACTCACCCACTAAATAAAAAAATGTTACAAATTATTATCAGATTTTATTCTATTTGAACCAATTCTGAACGTAGGACGAAATTAATTAATTTTTTTTTTTAAAAATATTGAAAACTTTTCCAAAAACACACAAAAACACTCTGTAATGAATCGAAGAAATGGAATGGCAAAAAATTTAATTAATTTTTTTTTGTTCAGCTGAACCAAACTAAATTTGTTCAATGTATTGATAATCGGTTATTTTTTCTTTTTTTTTTGACTTTGATAATGATTGTTACAATTATTTTCTCTTCAAATTCATTCATTCATTCATTCATACTTTTCGATTTATTATCGTCATGATGATGGAAAATTGATCAATACGATTGTATCATGTACTATGGTGATAATGATTGGGTGGTGGGTGTATGGATGCAAGAGAGAGAGAGAGAGAGATAAAGAGCAAAGCAAAACAAAGAGTTTTACTACTCCATTCCATTAATTTATTTTAATGTTTCTTTTTCAAATAAATGTCATAAGTTTTTTAATTTTGTCGATTCATCATTTATCAATCGATAATAATGATTTCAATGACGATTCGAAAAATTTAATTTTTACTTTTTGATTGATTAATAATTCAATAAATTTTTTTCACCCCTTTTTCCATTACAGAATTGTTAAATGTTTTTTTTTGACAAGTAAATATGAATGAATTGAATTTTTTTTCTTTTTCTCGTTTCCGTTCAATCAGTGGATTTTATTTTAATCATTACAACAACAAGCAGCACAACAGAATGCACATAATGCAAATAGACAACATTCGGATGTAGAAACACCACCACCACTTCGATTATTTTGATTATCATGTACAACAACAACTTGTGGTTGTTGTTGTTGTTGAGGATAATATGGTTGTGGTGGTGGTTGTTGAAATATTGGTTGACCAGGTGGTGGTGGTCCTTGACCATAAGGTTGTTGTGATGTAAAACCAGGTGGAGGTGGTGGTTGATATGAACCATATCCAGGTGGTGGTGGTCCTTGTGGATAAAATTGTTGATCTAAAAATAGGTAACCCGAAAAGAAAAAATTGTAAATTTCAAATTAGATTTACAAATCTTGTCAAACTTACTTGACATTTTTTTTTTGTTATTGCTGTTTAGATCAAATTTTCTTCAAATTTTAATTTTTTTTTCGATTGTGATTTATGAAGAAAATTTTTAAAGTTTCTACGTTTTTGAATTTGTAAATTATGATTATTTTATATTTAAAAAAAACAAGATTAATCAATCATATTACTCACTTTTTTTAAAAAATGGCTAGACTTTATAGTTTACAGTAATGGTTAACTGATATTTTTTTCTGCAATCATAATTATCATCAAAACATCAAAACATTAGCAACCAAAATGTCGTCATCGATTGATTGTCATTTATAATTTAGTTGCCATAACTAATGAAATCATCCATATTATATCGTTATTTTGGCATCATTTGATCAGAAGAGTCAGTCAGTCAGAAACAGTATGAGTGAAAGTGAGTGAGAGAGAGAAAAACAATACAATCAATTGTCATAGTAATTCTTATAATGTAAATAAAATCCATTCCTGCCCATATCATCATCATTATTATCATTGAAATTGAATAAATTTGGTTTGATAATTTACATTGATATGATACGGATGCATGTTGTTGTTGTTGTTGTTTGGTTGCAGTTTGGTTGATACTTTAAAAAAACGCCTGTTTTTTTTTGTTTTGTCCTGATTTCAATATAAATCCATTTGACTATAATAAGGATTACAAAATAGAAACAAACATAGAGATTAGAAAAAACAAAACTTACCGAAATGTATATTGCATCAAAATTTTTTCTCCATTATCAATTTTCTAATCGAATCATATATAAATAGAATATCAAAAACAAAAAATTTCATTCGGAAATTGTAATTGAATTGTGATTCAAGAACAAATCAAACGAAAAAACATGGAAGTTTTTTCCAAAAAAAAAAATTCCAAATCAAAAATTCCCGCGTTCGAAATAAAAAGAAAATTTTTGTTTTTTTAAATGTCAAGTCTTGCGTGTGTGTGTGTAGGGTACGATATTTCTACACAACTGGTCACAAGGTGTATTGGAATTTTCATTTGGATCTAAATAGAATAAACAAATATATTCTCTCATCGTTTCAATGTTGGAATGGATCGATCCAACACAAATGAATCATCGATGTTAATGTTGTCCTTGATTAGATTTTAATTGCAATTTTCACGTACCTACCATCAACATCGTTAACGACTACCTTTACACCACGATATTTCAGATATAGATAGAGAAAAACAAAAAACTTTCTTCTTTTCTCATCAATTTATTGTCAAGGTTTTTTTGTTTGTTTTCCTATCTCACAAACTCACCATATTCTGGCGCCATCGATAAATCCATTGATCATTTATTCGAATGAAACTATATATGTGCACATGTTGATGATGCTTATGCTTTTTTTCCATTGGTTTTTTTCTGTTTGATCAAATAAAAAAAAAAGAGTAATCTAATCAACACCAGGAAACCAGAAAAAACAGGCAAAATTTATCAAAAAGTGCATTGGCATGTGATCATAAATATTTTTTTATTATTATTATTATCCATTCATTTATTTAAAAGATTGCTTCTGCATAAAACTTTCTGTCTGTGTTTGTGTGGTTTGTTTTTTTTCCATCGAATTCTACAATTTGGTTAGTTTATTGATTGATTTTTATTTCAACTTTGATTAAAATTTTCGTTTTTTTATCTAATTCAAAAAAAAAGAAGAAAATATTTAGAATAAAATGTCATCATTTTGTTCATCACCGGATGATCAATCATCAACATTGAATTTAAATTATAATAATAATAATGATGATAAACGATTAAATATTGATGTACATTCAACTAGTTCATCATTGGCCACATCACCGGTCATTGAATGTTCGATTGTTGATGATTATCATAGCCAAAATCAATCATCATCATCAATAAATGATAAAAAAGAACAAAATAATAATAATAATCATAAAAATAACAATAATGATAATGATAATAATAGTAATAATAATAATAATATTAATATAACAATATCATCATTTATGGAAGATGAAAATGATTTTGATGATGATGATGATAGTATGGGAATATTATCCAAAAAACATCCAAATTTAATTCATCATTTAGCCGATAAAGAACATTTAAATATAATCAAAACAAATAACAATGATAAAATGAATGATAATCAATTGATGATTAAACCACGATCATGGACAGTTAAATTGCATAAAATGCATTCAACCGATTTGGATAATAATGTGATTAATAATTCAAAATCACCAACATCAAAACAAGACAGAATGATGATGAATAAAATCATTAATATTGGTAAACAACAGCGACCGGAACCGGTACAAAAAATAACCGAAACTAATAATAATAAACGTATTGTAAATGTCGATAATTTTACTTATTTATCAATGGAACATGCAAATGCATCATTTCCAATATTTCGTGAATTATGGCAACGTCGTCAAGTTTGTGATGTTGTAATTAAAATTGATGGCCATCGTTTTTTTGCTCATCGTATTGTTCTTTGTGCAACTATACCATATTTTTATGCAATGTTTACTAATGATTTAGCTGAACGTAATCAAATGGAAATTGAAATTAAATCAAATGAAAATGATGATCATGGTCCATCATTGGATAGTGAAGCATTTGAATCATTACTTAATTATGCTTATACCGGTGCTATTGAAATCAATTCGAAAAATGTACAATCCATATTGATTGGTGCATCATTTTTGGGTCTGGAAAATGTTCAACATGCATGTTCCGATTATTTAAAAGTTCGTTTAAATGTTAGTAATGTAATACAGATAAAAACATTTGCATTTGCACTTGGTTGTGATGCACTTGTACAGGCATCCAAACGTTTTATACATCGAAATTTTGAACAAATTGCCGATAGTGATGATTTTCTTCAAATGGATTCGGAAGAATTAATCGAAATAATTGGCAGTGATGAATTGAATGTATCGAATGAAAAAATAGTATTCGAAGCTGTTATCCGTTGGACATTACACGATGAAGAGATGCGAAAACAAAATCTTCCAGAACTAATTCGACGAGTTCGCCTTCCTTTACTTTTTCCAGAATATTTGACCGATGTAGTACTTGGACAAAAGCTAGTCAGACAATCATTAGAATGTCGTGATCTGATTGATGAAGCAAAAGATTTTCATTTATTACCATCACGTCGTGAATCGATAGCACGTGAACGTACTCGACCACGTTCCGGTCATCATGTACAAGGTTCTATCTATGCTGTTGGTGGCCTAACAAAAACTGGTGATTCAATGTCAACAGTTGAGGTTTATGATCCACAAATGAAACGTTGGCGTATGGCCGAAGCAATGAGTATGATGCGTTCACGTGTTGGTGTTGCCGTTATGGAACGAAAATTATATGCAATCGGTGGCTATAATGGTTTTGATCGTCTTAATACAGTCGAGGTTTATGATTCAAAAGTAAAACAATGGAAACGTGTCAAATCAATGCACTATCGTCGTTCGGCTGTTGGGGCTGCTGCTCTTAATGATGAACTTTATGTTTGTGGTGGATATGATGGTTCCATTTCATTGAATGTTGTCGAACGATATTCATCCATGTTAAATGAATGGAACGAAGTTACACCAATGAATATTAAACGTTCAGCTGCCGGTGTGGTAAGATATTTTTGATTATCTTTTGATTTGAAATGATTCAATTGTTTCTTTTCTTTTCAGGTTTCATTAGATGGCTATATTTATGCACTTGGTGGACATGATGGTCTAATGATATTCAATTCGGTTGAACGATATGATCCACGTACTAAACAATGGGAATTCGTTGAATCAATGTTAAGTCGTCGTTGTCGTTTAGGCTGTTGTTGTTTTGGTGGAAAAATTTATGTTTGTGGTGGATACGATGGTTGTACATTTTTACAAACTGCCGAAGTTTTTGATCCACAAACTGGTAAATGGTCGCAGATATCAAAAATGCGTGCTACACGTTCAAGAGTTGCATTAGTAGCTAATTGTAGCCGTTTATTTGCCATTGGTGGTTATGATGGTGTATCGAATTTATCATCTGTTGAAGCATATGATATTGAAAAAGATTCCTGGGAAATGGTAGCATCCATGGTTGCACATGAAGGTGGTGTCGGTGTGGGTGTTATACCAGATAATTATTAAAATATTATACCAAAGAAATAGATAATCAATTTTTGAATTTCATTATTATAAATATTGTTTCATATCATAAATAGGTAGTTTATTTTATTGTTAGTTAAATAAATTTTAGTGCATAATTTTCAAATATTATTGCATATCACAACATTCAATCATAATAACAATAAGAATTGAATTAAATTAATCCGGTAACATTTCATCAATATTTGCATCCAATAGAAAATCTTCATCATCAGGATCACCACCATTACCTCTGCCCATTGCTGTCATAACACGACCATGTGATGATTTTAGATTACGATCACGCCATGATGTTGTTGGTCTTTCCATATTATTCGTATCAAATTGTTCAACAACCTGATCAACAATAGCACTAATGGAACCTGCTGATGATTTTGATGAACCACTATTTATATCATTATTATTATTTGTAGCAATCAATAATCTTGGACTTGATTTTGTCGGTGTAATTGATTTGGTCATATAGCCACTGCTACCGCTTCCGTTTGATGAAGTAGTTGCAGCTGATCCTTCACGTGAACTAGATCCACCACCACCGCTTAGATTACGATTACCATTAGAGGCATTTACATGAGTTTGTCGACTAGCCGCTGTTGATGCTCTTGATGCACTTCGACTGGATGTTAATTTTTGTTCTTCACGTAATTCACGTGTTTTTTCCAAACGTCTAAGATGATCCGAATATTGTTCAACTAATTGTCCATATGATCCATTCGGTTCATTCGATTCTAATTCGGAACAAAGACGAACTAAAAATTTTAAACAATCAATATTGTCCGGAAAACGTTGATGAATCGATTGATAGGTTGATAATGCTTGTGGATAATTTCCCGATCGACGATATGATGCAGCAATCATTAGCTGCCATTTAATTTGATTTGGTCTAATTATGAAATAATGAAAATTGTTTTTCCATCAAACAAATTATAATTTTGTGTAAACATGTGTACTCACTGTATAATGGCCAATTGTTCAAGAAATTTAATAGTTTGATCATACATTTTCATTTCAATATAATAGGCAGCTAAACGTTCAATGGTTGGTATATGTGATGGTAGATAACGATATGATTCATGTAAGTAATTTAATGATTGTTTACGATCATTTTCATCCGATGCCATATCGGCCATTTTAATTAAAAGACCAACATCAGTTGGAACAAGTTGTAAAACTTTTTGAAAAAAATCTCTTGCCTGATCTTGATTACCCATCGATTCATAGCTATTAAAATTGAATTAAAAGTTTTGAAAACCACAAAAACTATTGACACTTACATTAAACCAATTTGATACATTAGATTTACTTCGATTGTATTGGTTATTTTTTGATTCAACATATTTGATTGATTTTTTGGTATCCGTATTATTGTACGTAAACGATATAGAGCATCCAATGCACTATCATAATGACCAAGTTTACGTTCAGCTAATGCTAGATTAAAATATGCTTCTAATATTGTTGAATTATTTGCTATCACTTCTTGATAATATTCGATTGCACGTTGAAAATCACCTTGTCGAAAGAATATATTGCCTTTGTTTAGTACGGCACCTGAACAATAACGATCAATTGAAATTGCTTCATCTGCATAACGATTGGCCGATTCATAATCACGTTGAAGTAGATATAAAAATGATAGATTTGTAGCTGCCGTTGCCGAAACCCTGGCTGTCGCTGAAGACATTCGTATCGCTGCCGAAGATGAAGAAGTTGACGATGAGATTGTAGCCGATGTTGTTGACATCACATTTAATCGATTGGAAGGATCATTTGCGCTAGCCGTACGTGATGATGTTAGTAATCGATCTTTTGATTCGAATGATTTTAATGTAGATATTGCTTGATCGAATTCGCGTGCTCGTAATTGTTTTGTCGCTTTATACAATTCTAATTCATCGGCTAAATGTATGAAATTCAATCCAGAATTCACACTATACAATGTGGTCGATGTAATTGAAGCCATACGACGTATCTGTTCCAGACACCAATCATATCCAGATGTTATTGATGATGATGAAGGTGGTAGTTCACCATTTGTCATTTGATTTCGATTGTATGAATCGATTGGCATAACCATTAATCCATTTGGTACAGTAGGAACATGATCAACTTCAATAAATGGTGAAATCAATTTTGCTGCTGTCAATATACACCATTCAACATGACGAATAATTTCCTTTTCATATTGACGTAAACGATCATTACGTATTGCTTCGATCAATAAATTATTAAAATGATCTTGTTCATCACGAATCAATAATATTGGTGATGTTGGCCGTTGATTGATTGATGATGATGCCGAAGTTCGATGATCAATAGTTTCATTCGTCTCTGTCGAACCACCTAAACTTGATGTACCACCAGCAAATATGATACCACCATTTGTTAGGATTTCATGATGACCATAACGTTCTTCAAATTGATCTTCAACTTTAACCTGAAGTAATTTATTAAAATAATATTTCATTTTATCACCATCACCAAGTGCATAATAGGCAACGATTAAATGAAAAACAGTTTCGGCATCATTCCAATCACCACGTTCGGCTAATATAAATTCGAATGCAGCAATAGCATCGGCATATTGTGTTAATCGTACAAACGCTAGACCAATATTTGCCATTAATTTTAATCGTAATTCACTCTGTGTTTGTGGAATTTGATCCAATGCCATACGAAAAAATTTTATCGCTTTTGGATATTGTCGTTGACGGAAATAAATTTCTCCAATATTCATTCGAAATCTTCCCGTATTAGTAAATGAACGATTTTTTAACAATGCCTGATATGTATTGATTGCTTCGGACCACATTTGAGCATCAGAATAACGTTCGGCTAAATTGAACATTGTAGCCAATGTTAGATCGGAATTTGTTCCATATGTTTCCATCAATCCAGATTGTTCTTTCAAACGATTTAATGATCTAATGAACAAATGAAATTATCATTTTTTTTGTTTGGATGAAATTCTTCAGCAAATAGAAAAAAAACTTCTCACATACCGTTCTTTAGCTACACAATCTTTAGCTAAATCTAATGCCTGACCATAATCTTGTCGTCGTTGTGCAGTCTGTACACTTTCATCCAACAAACGCATTATCTGTTTTTCCATTTGTTTGATTTTCCATTCCGGTGCTGATTCATCCTGTAAATGAAATACCGATTTTGATCCATTACCACCTGATTGACCTGATGAATTAGCAAGACCAAGTGGATCAAATATACGATTTTGACTTGATTGTGATGTATAACCAGCACCACGAACAGCAGTTGCTGGCCTTCCAGTACCAGTACCAAGAGCAGTTCGTAATCCACTAGTAACTGCTGTACCACGAGATTTCATCAATGAATTTATTGGATTTTGTGAACGTGAAAATGCAAGACCAGCTGTTGAATTACCACCACCGGCAGCCGTACGAAAACCACTACGTAATAATGAACGTGATTGTAATTGTCGACCATATCCACTTTTATTAACTGTACGTAAAAATTCTTCATCATCTTGTAGATTACGAGTATCCAATACTGGATGAAATTCATTATAACCTTTATATAAATCATCATTATCATCACCACCACCGTTATTATTATCATCAACATCATCATCATCATTGAGCATTATAATTCGTTCACGAGTTGAAGACATTGTTTTGATCATTTTGTAAATTTTTCAAACCAAAAAAAAAACAAAAAACAAAAATTGAAAAAATGAGCAAAATATTATTTCATTACCACAGTTGAGAATTGAACAAACACAAACCAAAAAAAAAACTGGTAAATAGTTTTTTTTTCTCCTTTTATTTTTAATGTTTCATTATGGATGATGATGACATAAATATTCTCTATATATATTGAAAATAATAATGGTGTTATCACCATAGTGACCGACGAAATGGCTAGAATATTATTTTTTTTAAAGGAATAATTAAAGATCCGAATTCAAACAAATCGATTATTCAATTTTGGTCTAGTTTCGATATAGAATCCGATGATTGATTGATTCTTATTATTAATTAATTTTATCATTATTTCGGTATATTTTGAATTAATTTCCGGTATTATTTTTGGATTTGGGTGATGAAAAGTTTGAATCCGGTTCTGAAGGATAACTATCGGCCTGCATAGTTTAGTGGCAGAACGTTGGTCTTGTACTGCTGTTGATTGGGTGTGGGTGTACTTCACTTTACGAAGTATAAATATACCCGGGTTGTATAAAATGGATTACCAAACACCTAAAAGTGTATGGGACAACCAAAGGTCGTGAGTTCGATTCTCACTGTAGGCACGAACAAACAAGTTCATTTTTTTTTTTTGCTTTTGATATTCTTCATTCATCATCATAATCTTCGTATTCAAAATTTTTTTCTAAAATGACATTCATTTGTTTGTTCATTCATTTACAAACAAAGGAACTTGAATAGCATCAATTATTAATTACGATTCTTGTTACGTAATAATTTATTATTTCGAAACATAGACCTGCTGTAGCCATCTAGCGGTAATTTTATCAATGCTAAATGATTGAAAAAAAAAATGTTAAAAATTTCAATTTTCATTTTGTTCAAATGAATTAATTCCGTCAAAAAAAAATTATTTTCAGAATTTTTATCTAATATTTTTGCCCAACTGCAATTTAATCAACATCATTTCCATCTATTATAAATCTATTACGCCCATTTTTAGGATCCATATAGATTTACTTTCATCAACGACAACAACATATATCAGAAAAAAAAACTTTTCCAACCATCGATACAATCAAACAAGCAACTAACAAAAAAATAAAGTTGGCGAGTATTTTCTACTATTCTTTCACTCAAAAAAAAAAGAAAAGAAAAAGATTGCAACATTAAGATGGCTGATGCTTGTACCGTGAGTGAATGAATTTCATTCTGGCCTAATCTCACATCATCTTGATCATTTAAATTTTTTTTTTGACTAAATTAAATCAAAGATAAATCGTCGTGACAAAGGTTAATTACTATCATTTTAAAAATTCAATCCGATAACGTTTTTTAAAATCTCAATATTTTTTTGTTATAAATAAAAATCATTTTGTACTTTTGAAAAGAAACCAAAACAACATCAATTATCCATCGATTTGATGGAAAAAAAAGATGTATTCGAATGTAGATATGGGAAAGTGGGGGGTAGGTAAGTATATTTTTTGGCTTGCTTGATTGGTTTGCTTTGTTTTTGGATTTGTTCGGGTTGGCTCAGGCAAAAGAAAAAAAGAAAAGAAACTCAATTTTTTTTTTTCGTTTTTCACAATTCATTTTCTCGTTCTGTGCTATTTGGGTATATATCAGCGATTTCAATGTTTATGTGTGAAAAAACAAAAATGTGTATATGTTTTATTTCTGTCTGTCTATACCGCATATCATTATCATGCTATCACACACACAAACACACACGGTGAAAAGAGAAAAGAGCTCAAATTTTGTTTTTTTTTAAAACACTGTTTTTGTTTTTTTTTCATGGATTTTTTTCCAATTGGAACAGAATAAATAAATGTAAGCATTTTCCGGAATAAGATTTTTTTGTGTTGATTTTAAAAATCTATTTAATTATTGTTTCTCATAGGTTTCAATCGAATCATTCGAAATTGATGTTGTTGAAGTGTTTTACCATTCTACTGATTGAATCCAGTAAGTAATATTTTGGTTTTCAGATTTATTCCTGAAAATTATGTCAATGTTTTTTTGTTTTCCAATATAGACCCCAAAATCCTTTGAAATCATTCTATCGAACACCACCCACACAAATCAAAACATTTAAAAATTTGAGTAAGTTTTTTTTTAAAATTTATTTTCAATTATTGGGATTTTTTTAAAAATCGAATCGATAAAATGTGACAGGGGTATTAAAAGAGAATTATAGGTGAATAAAAGAATATTTTCTTTCTTTTGATAACAATTTAAGTGAATCAAAATTATTATTTTTTTCTTCAAAAGTTAAAGAATAAATCTTGCAAATAGTGTTTGTTTGTGTTTGTAGGTGAAAAATGTGTTTGCAATGAAAGAAACAGAAAACAAAAAGATAAAAATTTAAATTTTAAAATCATTGAAAATCATATTTTGATTTTTCAATGAATCAATGAATGATAATGATGATGATGATGATAGAAATGAAATTGTTTGGTAAATGAATGTTTTGTATGTGTGTATGTCTTTGAATGTCGATGAAATTCTTGTTCCATGATGTTGAATCCAACATCTCAACATCTTATTCATCAACAATAAACGAATAAAAACAAAAAAAAAACACATTTTTTTCAAAAAAATAAAATTAAAAAACAAAAATATTTCTAATTTATGTATGTTTGTGTGTGAAGGTGATTGTGTTAAGGTATATTCTCTTCTGCTGGTTTTATATCTAATTAAAATATGACTGTGAACGGCAAAAATAAAAATTTAAACATGAAAAATATATATGAATGATGAAACAATGATGATGATAATGATTATTAAAAATAAAATAAAAATGAACACAATCAATTTTTTTCAAGTATCGTAAACAAACACAAAAATAAAATTATTATAATAGATACTTTTTCTTCCTGTTATTTTTGTTGATGACATTTTCTTAAATGATCCAATTAATGACCAATAATTTATAAAACGATAATTTATTTATTCATTTTCTCTCATTCCTCATCTTTGGTCATTTCGATTGCTTCTAATAGACACATAAAATTATCATTCGTTGTTGCCGTTATTGTTGATGATTGTGTTGTTGGTATTACTGTTGCTGATGTTACCGATGGTGTTATAGTTTGTGGATGTATGGATAATATTTGATGTGGTTGATTATGATAGATTAATTGATGATGACCTCCAATGCTTGTCGCTGTCAATGGTATTGCCGATGTCAACTCAGTTAAACTTTGTTGCTGTGATTGTTGTTGATGATGATCATGTATGATTTCATGCTGTTGATTTGTAGTAAATGTTGGTACTAATGATGCTGTTAGATGATGATCAGATGAATTCGGTGGAGGGGCTATTTGAAATATTGGTTTACCTTCAGAATCGATACCTATTGATCCAACAGTAAATAATGTTAATGTTTGTTGCTGTTGACCCGGCTGTAATGATGAGAATGATGTTTGTGTTGATGATAATGGTGGTTGTTGTTGATGACAACGATTCAACAGTGTCGTTTTTCGAGCGATTGCTGTTGTCGTCGTTGTTGTTGGTGTTCCGGTTGGTATGGCTGCAGCCATTGTTGCCGCCAATGCAGCGTTTGCGGTTGCTGTACCGCCACCGTTATCCAATATATGAACCGAAGGATATTGTGGCATTCGTAAAATTGTTATATTCGATCCTGGAGCTGTTTGTGCAGTTGCTGCTGCACCTATTGTACCGGTTATTGTTGCCGGATCCGTAATGGTAGCCAATGTTTGATTCTGTGGATGATGTATGGCAGTTGATGCAGTCAGATGATTTGTCGGTATCAATGTGGCTGTTTGATGTTGTTGTTGTTCATATTTAGTCATTGTTTCAATATTTTTATGTAAATATTTAATGCCATATTTTCTTCTTGGTTTAGCCGTTGATGTTGTATTTGAAGCCGATGTTGTTGCCATCGTTCCAGTTATAATCGGTAAGGTGGATGTAGATGGACCAATAGCAACAACTTGTCCAATCATTGGTGTTGTTTGCAATCCAGCAGTCATAATATTTCCACTACCACCTTTGATTGCTAGAATTTTTTTCGTTGTAGTTGTTGCAGTTGTAGGCGTAGGCACTATTGACATTTGTTGTTGTTGAGATGGCTGTTGTTGTGATCCAGGAGTCACTTCTATAATTCCTTTTGAAGTTAATATTTTTGAATGCTTTGTCTGTAAGTGCCGTTTGTAGGTGTTTCTCGTTTTGAATCTGAAATTTTCATTTTTTCATATTAAATTATTAATCAATTTGCATATTTATTTTCAAACAGAATAACTTACTTGATAAGACAATCGCTACATTGGAATGGAGTTTCACCTGTATGACGGCGCATATGTTCTTTGAAATGTGATGGATGACGAAAATGGCGCGAACATTCCGAACAAATGAATCGTGATTTGTTCAAATGTATTAACATGTGATAATTTAATGAATGTTGTCGTGTAAATGTGGCCGAGCAAAGATCGCATACATAAGGCTTAAGACCGGCATGTTTTTTATAATGAAATATCAATCCATTTGTTGAGGTAAATTGTTTATCCGGACAGATTTTACATTGATATATGACAGATTTATCACCATTTACAATTATAGATCGTGCAGCTGATGAGCTTTTCTTTCGGATATCATCAATATAATCCAATGCTAATGCACGCAGTTGATTTGCTGGCATTGATGGATCAGCCGCATTCATCATTGAAGTTGTATTCGTAGTTGTGGCGGCTGCTGTAGTCATTGCCGTAGAATATGTTCCGGATAGAGACTGGTTTTGATGTTGATCCATGTGATCTGTTGAAGAAATAATTTCCACTGTTTGAGATACATCTTCGATTGTATGATGCGGCATTAATGATGTTTGACCAGCCATGGCCGGTGTTGCTACAACAAATGTTGATATCGGTAATGATGTATTCAATATATGATGGACTGGTGTAGCAGTTTGAATTAATGTAGGCTGTTGTTGGGTAAGTTGTCTTTGCTGATTATTCTCAATATTCATTAGACCATAGATTTCCTCTTCAATCTCAGCGTTTGCTATTGATTGTTTTAGGATATCATTTTCGGCTGCAACTGTCTTTGTCGTCGTTGCAGTCGAAACTGTCAATGATTGGGACGTCGCCGTCGTTGTTGTTGGCGCAACCGATACTGTAACATAAATATTTTCTGTTTCCTGTTTAATCTGTTTTGTTGTTGTTGTCTTTTTATTATCAACAGGCGCTTTACGAATTTTACGGCATGAATTTAGCCTTAAATTTGGCATCGTTTGTTCAAGATTGCACAAATGTTGTCGCAGATGATCAACGATATCCTTTTTGGATTGTTCAGCTTCTGCTGAACCGAATACCGATTCAAAACGTTGTTGACATTGTTGTGGCAATAATTGACAACTGTATGAACAGCGTTTCGTTTTTACATCGCGTTTATATTCAACAAATGTTGATAATAATCGTTTATCGGAAAATTTCGACACCTGTTTCAATGTGAATTGACGATTGCGTATGGCAACAGCTTGAATTGTTGGTGATGAACTTGTTGCTGTTGATGATGATGAAATTTTCTCATTATTGGCCGTTGAACTCTTCTGTTTATTTTATTAGAACAAAAAACGCGCGAAAATTAGAATCCAACATTTTAACATTGATGGCATTTCTTACCTTTGCTTTTTTCACAACAATGTTTGTGGGTTCAATCTTGATGGTTTTATCATCATTACCACTGTTATCTGAAGATGTTGATGTCTGTTGTTGTTGTTCATTGTCTTCCATATCCATTTGACGTTTCATGATGGCTGCACGTGCTAATAGGCCTAAAGGTTTTTCACCGTTTCCAGCTCCACTACTATTATTATTATTATCAGCGGCATTTGTTGGTAATGTTTCTGATGATGATGATGATTCAGATTTGTTCGTTGACATTGTTGTTATTGTTGAATCCGTTATTGATGTAACATTAGTAGTAATGATTGTTGATTCATTAGTACTGGTGGGTGTGGCCGATTCGGTAACCATTGGAATGGTCGTACCAGTATCATTTGATGATGTATTATCCATCATTCGAAATTTTGAAAGAAAAATTTCAAAAAACAAAATCAGATGTTCAATTGAATATATTCACAAATATAAAAACAATAAACAAATGATGATGAACGCCCATATGATTCACACTGATGTAATCGTTAGGCAATAACTACACATATATACTCTATCTTGTTAACTTCACCAAAACAATATTTTGATTTTTTCGGATTCAGTATTGTCAATTCAAATCAAATTATTCTTATTTAGAAATCAAAAATATATTCAATCAATGAATATGATAAACACAAAAAAAAAATGAAAACAAACAAATAACAATCGCAGACGACATTGTGAATGTGTCGACGAAATATTGAAGAAAAAAAAACAACAAAAACGAACAACAACAAAAATTACGCGCGCGCGGGTCTCTTTTTCACATCGGATAAATTATTCGTTGTATTTATTCTTAATAATGGACCACAATATACACACACCAAACACAAACAAACACACCATTTACAATTGTAGAATTTCTTTACAATTCAATTTCGATAATTAATTATCCTCGAATTTTGGAAAAATAATTTGTTGAATTTAAAAATGATGATTGGAAAAAAAATTCAATTCATAAATTGTGAATATTATAAAAAAAAAACTAGATTTAAAAATCTCGTGATCACATAAACACACAAAAACACAACACACACACACATTTAGTTGTGGTTGTTGTATGCCACTCAAACAAAACACACATACATACAAACAGAACGCTGAATCACACAGAACAAAATTCGAGGATGAGTCGTTTTTTTTTGTTTTTTTTTGCTATTGGTAATGGCGCTGCAATACAGCTAATGAAAGTTGGATATATTCCTCCTCCCCCTCCTTGTGTGTATATACGTCTGTTCAATCATATTTTGGATGCTCATTTTTCATGTCTCGTTGATGATTGGGTTTGTCCGAATGTGTTGCCGATTGTAGCGGTTATTGTAGTGGCATGTTGATATACGCGTATACGTTTATATGTGAGTCATATATCCATCATTAAAACGTTGTAAACAAAACAAAAAAATTTTCAATTCGTTTCATCAATTACGTACATGTTGGAATTTTTTTTTCGATTCATTTATTTTGAAAATTTTGAATTGATAGGATGATTATTGGAAATTTAAAAGATTTATTTAAATTTTAAAATTCAATTTTACATTTTAAAATTAAAATTTTCTATCAATCAATCAGATTTTAATCTTTTGGATTTTGGATCGTTGTTTATGATACGAATGAGTTCTTCTGTCTGTGTATGCAGATCAAATAACTACGCATTTTTTTACAACGGACAAAATCGAATCATTCATAAATAACGTTTGATGATAAATTTTTAAATCTCGATCGGAAATCTCCATGTGCAAATCATATGGTTTGAAGATCAAAATAAAAATCATATGATTTATCATATCTGGATATGATATTATTTTTTTTTTAATTTCAAAAAAAAATTTGTCTAAATGAATTTTAAATCATTAATGGTTTAAACATTGTTCAATGTCAATGTCATAATCATTTTTGTTATCCAACGATATGAATGTGCCGGCAACATCGTCAACTATCTCTTTGGAACCGGTCATTCTAGCATTAGAAATTCGTAATTTATCCTCTAAATTTTCCTATGGTGATCGTAATGAAATGTTATATGGCCTAGGTGCTACGTCAGTTCATAATCATGTATGTCACAATGATCAAAAAGACTTGGCTAAAAGATTGAAATCATTCTATTTTTTGCTGTTGTCACTTGTCACTAGCCTTATTATTCAGTAGCCTTTTTCCCGGATGAACTTGCATGTCATATGGTCATCCGTTTGTTACATCAACGTCAATGGAATGGTCGACGTTTACGTGTTGAATTTGCCAAACCAGAACAAATTCGTCGTCTTCCTAGTCATCATGTCTGTGATTTAACACTCAAAAGGTATTTTTATCTTTCGAATAATATCGAATCAACAATTCACTTTTATTCACTTGAAGGCAAATTGAACATGATCAATTTCAAGTATTTCGTGATCAAATTCAAGAATTGCAAACTCAATCAATACCAAATAACATTTTGAATTCGAATTTTGAAGATATTCCTGAAGCCAACAAACATATTATCCAGCAAATTCGACAACACTTGTTGAGCAATGAAAAATTTTATAAATGTGTTGTTGCATTGATGCTCAAACTGGGCCTGGAATTATCATTCTCTTGGCAAAATGAGGATTTATCTACTATTCCATTACCAAAAGATTCAGATGAAGAATCTGAGTTGGAAACTGATCTCACCGTCAATGATCTCAATCATAACCAAGCGCCCGAATTCGAATTGAAACGTCGTCGACGTCGTAAAAAGCGACTTAAAACAGGATTTATTGGTGACAACGCTGAATCGTTTCATGTGAACCCAAAAACTTCCATTGATCAAAATAAAATTACTACCGAAATTGAAGAAATCTTCGATACAGTCCCAAAATCAAAAAAATCTTCGATAAATTTAACAACGAATTTTATCAATCTATCTTCAATATCATCTTCATCTGATTTAGTTAAGGAACCTAGTACAACTGCCGAAGGTTTCGGTTCTCTAGTCAAACCACATTCAACATCTTCATTAAAATCAAAAACATCGATCAATGATAATAATTTTGATCTTTGTTTATTGCGTCCAAAAGATCTGATTTCCGATCAGGAATTGGAATCAAATCGAATATCTACGGATAAATGGTGCGAATATCCAGTATTTAAAAATTATTCAATTGGTGATCAACAAAGTCATCGACTTTATGTCAAAAATATTCATCGAAAAGTTGAACTTCGAGATTTGTATCGATTATTTGCTCGATTTATTGATCTTAATAATAATGATCATGTTGATAAATTTGGCATCATTTACATGGAAAAAGGTAGAATGCGTGGCCAAGCATTTGTCACCTATCCCGAATTGACACAAGCTAGTTTAGCATTAACATCAACTAATGGTTTCATATTCTATGATAGACCTATCGTTGTTCAATATGGTCGTTGTAATAATTTACCACAAGAATAACTGTTTCGATGATTATTTTAATTAATAATTACAAATAATAAAAAAAATACAACTACTTAAGAATCAATGTGAATAGATGAATAGATCAAATGACAGTGTCTATATTCACTATCTATTTTTCTTTTTCTGCAAAACCTTCTTCGATTTCTTTCATTCGTTTTTCCATTTCTTCACGTTCTTTTTTCGTACGTCCTTTTTCTAATTTGGCTCGTTCCTCCGGTGTAAGATCGTCTAACAAATTTGTAACCACACCGGTCATGATTGTTTTTTTCTGATCACGTATAGTGAAACGAGATCCTTTTTCCATAACCATTGGTCGTAGAATCTATTTTAAACAAAATCATATTAGCAACTATCGGTAAAATTGTACGGATATTTGTTTACCTTCAAAATGACTTTGGCATCTTCGCCAGGCATAATCATATCTTTACCAACAATATTTAATTCGACAGCACAATCCCATGTTCGGCAGAAACAATGTCCACGAAGCAATGATAAAAATGGCAGATTTTTTCCACCTTCTTCTTTTTTTAACATATAGATTTGTGTTTCTACATGATCAACCGCTCGATATTCACCAGGTTTGACAACGGCCATACCACGACGAACCTGATCACGTTTAACACCACGCAATAATGCTCCCAAATTATCACCAGCCTGTGATTCGTTAAGGATCTTTTTGAACATTTCGATTCCAGTAATAACACTTTTGTGTTGACGTCCATATCCGATAACTTCGCATTCGGAATTCTTTTTGATTATACCTTTTTCTAAACGGCCAGTGACGACTGTACCACGTCCTTGAATCGAATAAACATGTTCGATTGGCAATAAAAATGGTTTATCAACTTCACGAACAGGATCGGGAAATACTTCATCAATCATTTGCATCAATTGTTCAATCGATTGTTCACCAATTTCCGGTTTTTTATCTTCCATAGCAGCTAATGCTGAACCTTTAACAAAATGCATCTTATCACCATCATATCCAAGTTCGGTCAATAATTCACGGATTTCCATTTCGACCAATTCAACCATTTCATCATCGGCAGCATCAACTTTATTTATGTAGACAATCATATTATCAATACCGATTTGTTTGGCCAGTGTAAGATGTTCACGAGTTTGTGGCATAACACCATCGGTAGCAGCTACAACCAGAATAGCGCCTTCCATCTGATTAGCACCAGTAATCATATTTTTAATATAATCAGCATGACCGGGACAATCCATATGAGCGTAATGTCGTTTTTTTGTCTCATATTCAACATGTGCTGTTTGATTAATGATAAAACAAAACAAAAAATAAATGATTTAATTTGAAACAAAAAATTTTAAATACCTGTATTTATAGTAATTCCTCTTTTCTTTTCTTCGGGTGCATTATCAATTTCATCATATTCTTTGACTTTAGCCAATTTTTGTTTGGCCAATATTTTAGTGATAGCACTGGTTAAAGTAGTTTTACCATGATCAACATGACCAATAGTACCGATATTCATATGTGGTTTATCTCGTTTGAATACTTTAGCACCTCCAGGACCAGGAGGCGGTGGAACCGATAAAGATCGAATCAAATTAAAATTTGTGGCATTAAACACAGCCAAACGATTACGTTGAAGTGATATGGCACTGGTGCCAGCACCATTAAAAATACGTGCCAATATTAATGTAGACATTGTACCGTAAAGAAAACAGATGAATTAAATGATCCCGTTATGATCAATATGATAATGATAACTTAGAACTCGACAAACCAAATTAAAAAAAATCGAAAAACATGTGTATTCATATAAACATATGACAATCGATTGTTTGTTTTTTCAATCGATATATCGAGTCCTTGTTTAACAACCCGAAGACATCAAAATAAATTGGTTGGTGGATTTTGTTCATCTGATTTGAACATTAAATAATTATGTCGGTGGTAACAATGAATAATTTGATTAAATTGAACAACATTCTCAAATGTTCAGGTCCTTATCATCTTCGATTTTTGTCTACTGTTCCTGCCGAACGTAAAGCCGATTTTTTTCCACGCGTATTGAATGCTGATACTTTTCCCGATATTAAAACCTTACAACTTAAACGTGGTACTGGTTATCGTTCAAGTTTTAATGGATTAATCGTTACGGTATTTGGTGCTACCGGTTTTATTGCAAGATCGCTCGTCAATGATCTTGCTAAATGTGGTTCACAAGTTATTTGTCCTTATCGTGGTGATACTTATGCTACAAAAAATCTTAAATTAGCTGGAGATCTTGGACAAATCCTTTTCGTTCCATATAGTTTGAACGATGTGGACTCATTGTATCGTGCTATGAAATATTCAAATGTAGTTATCAATTTGATTGGTCGTAATAATGAAACGAAAAATTTTGATTTCGAATCCATTCATGTTGAAGGTCCACGTACCATAGCTAGAATAGCTCGTGAACTTGGCGTTAAACGTTTGATCCATGTATCATCATTAAATTCATCACCAAATCCACCGGCCCATTATATAAGTGGTGGATCGAAATTTCTAAAATCCAAATATTGGGGTGAAATTGCCGTACGTGAAGAATATCCAAATGCAACTATATTTAGACCGGCAGATGTTTATGGTGAATGCGATAATTATCTCTGGTATTATTGTTATCCACATCGACGTGGATTTCGTACGCTTCCATTACCCAGTGGTGGTTATGGTATAACCAAAACACCTGTAAGCGTATCCGATTTAGCCGAAGGTATTGTCAATTCGATTAGTGATGATGCAGCCATTGGTCAGACATTCGATGCTGTCGGGTAAATTAATTCATTGATTTTATTCGATTTATAAGAAAATTTATTTTTTGCATTTTACAATATTAGACCACGACGATATGAACTGCGTCGGTTAGCTTTATACATTAATGATATTGTTGGCAAACAGCCTGATTGTGGTTTTGAGGTGACCAATTTACGTTGGGATCTGCAAGTACGGCCACGATTATTTTTATGGTCAAATTTGAAATCAGTGTTTAAGAAACCGAAAACATGTTGGGAACGTATTGAAAGGGTAAATGAAAATGTTTTTTTTTCTTTCAATGTTGATTGTAATTTTCATTATTTTTTATTAATCGGAAACAGGAAGCGATCAGTGATGAAGTTTCAACAAATCTACAGCTAACCGATCTAGGTGTACGATTGCAACATATTGAAGATCATTGGCCATTTTTATTAACCGCTTGGAAATGGCATGGTGCTTATGATGGTGATCTTGGTGAAAATCGTGTTTATGAACATCCAACATTTACATTAGATTCAGGATTATCATCAAGACAAAGTTTAGCTTAAGCTCATAGAATAATTATTGTTTAATATTTTAATGTTGATGATAAAATAAAATACAGAAATTATATTACAAATTTTTATGCTTTCTAATACCGATATGGTTCATAATTAATCTGATAGAATTGTGTTGGTTGTTGTATAGTTGTTGTTGATTGTGCTTCTAAATAATTCGATTGATGACCATGCTGTACGATTTGTATCTGCTGTTCTTGACTTTCTTTCAATTGTTTTTGAAGCTGTTCAATTTGTTTACGATATTCTTCTTGTATATTTTGTAATTGTTGTTCATGATCTATTTTAATTTTAGCTAACTGTCGATTACGTTCATTTTGTTCATGTTGATTTAGGATTTCGAAAATTTTCATTGATAATTTTTGTACCTGTTGCATTTTTCTTTGTATAGATTCGAATGTTTCTTTGCATGTATCACGCCGAACCATTTGTTCAATTGTACGTGATATTTGTAAAAATTGTCGATTTATATCCGGATCACCTCCATTATTCTGATATTGACGCATACGATATTGATCGATAAATCGTAAACGTTGACGTATAATCCTGAATGATGGCGTTTCACGATCCAAACGACTACGAATCCTATATCCACGCCAACATTTCTGTATGATTACAACAAATGGTGTATAAGTTGTGGCAGTAAAATTTGAATCATTCGAATCACGATTAGATGAATCGATCGAACGTTTATTGGCTGATGTAATATCATTCGATTCCGATCCATTTTCCAATAATAGAGCTTTGACAGCAATATATTCTCTTCGCCGTTCGATGAGAGGTTTTTGTAGCCATTTTTTTATCTGTACATATAGTGCTTTTGTTGAATCAAAATTTGCTTTGGTCATTTCACGCCAAGGCCGAGGATCTTTCAACGCTCTTGTTAATGTATATTGTGAACAATGAAGAATATGATCAGCGAATGCTGATCGTGGAATTTTATATCGACTAAGTTCAGCTATCATTACACGAGCCAATGCAATCGTATCGATTTTATTTCGATCGAAAACAACATCATGAGGAAATGGTTCGATTGCCACTTTTTGTCGAGCCTTTTTCATTCGTACAACATTTGAATTTAATGTGTAACGTAGATGATCTTGATTACCAAGATCTGTATCATATGATTCTTGATTTGATTTTATAACATTATTTTGTTCAATGTGATTTAAATCTAACTCATCGGTTATATTATTGGCATGTTTTGTTGTTGATTCCGTTTTGTTTCCAATATCCATGAGAACGATATCATCATCATCAACATCATCATTATCATAATCTTCATCTTTTTCATCATCTTCATTATCATAATCATCTTTGGCCTTAAATTTTTTAAAAATGGAAATGAATTTTTTTGTCAACAACAACAACAAAAAACAGTATTCAAACTTACAGCCGACAATGAAGATGAGCATTCGTCATTGGAATCCATTAAAACATCATTTACATCTTGATCATTATTTTGATGATAATCCTCCATGTTCATAAATCCAGAATGATTTTTTGCATAATAATTTAACAATAATTAATTATTTTGACAAACAAAAAAGAAATTCAAATTATAAACCACAAAGAATTGATACATACAATCGTAAATTATGAAATGTAAATAGATATACTATCGATATTGTTGTTCATTACTGGAATGATTTTTTTTTTGAACAGAAAATTTTTTTAAAATTACGGATGTAAAAACAAAGAATTTTGTGATATGAAATGTCATTAATTTACTAATGATAATCATTATTTGTTTTGATTTTATCCATCAATCCATGGCAATCACATTGATTGTGCAATTTTAAAATTCATTAATATATCATTGACTCGCGCCATTTATTTCTTCTTCTCTAACTGTGATTGTAATGTTATCCTATCTCATGATATATATAGGATCTTTTTTTTCTTCTTCCTATGCCTCGCATCAATGATTTATTGATACACATCCTAATCGAATCCACGACGATACAGTTACACAATGTTTGAAGCTCATCGAAGCATCCAATCGATCAATAAACTTGTTGAATGATAAAAAAAAGATAGCCTCATCCTTATGATGATGATAATAATCACATAGCTTTTTGATTTTGTTATTGATTGGGGAAATGTTTTTTTTCCATAATAGTGACTTTCGCATCATTAGATATAGATTTTTTTAAATTTTTTATCATTTTTTGAATTCAATTTGATTTAGATTAAAATTGTTTTTAAATTAATTATCGTTTTTTTCTCATTTTTGTTAACATTCAAATACCACATCACTTTTTTTCCAAAAAATTGATTCGAATTCAATATTGTGATTTTGTTTTTGTTTTTGTTTTTTCGATAGTTGATTCGTTCTTCTTCGAATAACCATCATTCATTTCATAATGACAAAGATTTTATTCATCATTGCCATTATTATTATTGTTCAAAATTTATCTAGTCATACAGTTTTTTCATCCGATCAATCACCATTTGAACGATTATTTAATCGATTCTCTGATTTTCTTAAAGATCTTAAAAATCCAAATAATCAATTTGAAAATCATTATAATGATCGTTTACGATATTATGAATCACAATTATCACATACACGTGTATGGCTTACAGTATCATCGATTGTAAATGTAACTGGACATAATCCAAATGATCATAATGATAATGATCTATTGATTCGTGCATTAGAATTACATTGGCGACGACCAGAACCACCGCAACCAGGTGATTATATTGCACTTTATCGAAAAAATGATTCAATACAAATACGAACATTTCCATTGATCGATACGAAAACTAATCATACATTTCCACGTTATTATAAAATTGATCTACCATTTATCTATCAAAATCTAACAAATCTTAATCAAACCAATAATAATAATAATAATAATGATATTTATGATAATTGTCTTGAATATATTGTTGCCTATATAAATCGACAAGGAAATATTGAATCAAAAAATTGTATTCGAATGCAAGCTCGATGGATGGAAGAAATATTTGAACGTATAAAAGATCATCGATTATCTGAATTAATGATACCGGGAACACATGATGCAAGTAGTTATGAAAAATATTCCTATGATTTATATGAAAAAGATGGTTAGTATTGAATTTGATTGATCATTGAAAATTGATTTATATTTTCCTATGTTTTATTTCCCACAAAATTTTTGATTTTTATAGTTCTTAGTCGATTTCAATATACCCAAGATGAAAGTCTTTATAATCAACTTGCTTATGGTATTCGTTATATGGATTGGCGTGTTGCTGTTTATAATCAAACAAATCATACTGATAATCAAACATATAATTGGATTGAAGAATTTTGGATGGTACATGATATGCAACGTAATCGTATTACATTGAAACAAGCATTACGACAAGTAATAAAATTTTTAGAACGTACAACACATGAAATTATTATTATTGATTTTCATCGTTTTGTACATGGATTTGATGGTGAAAAAAATCTACCAATTATGCGTCGAAGATTACAAACATTTATTCAAATGATACATGAACAGCTTGGTCCTTATTTAATACCATATAGGTAAATGAAAATGAAAATGAAAGAGAAAATAGTTTATTCATGTGTGAAATGTGAATGAGAAAAAAAAACTTACAGAGAAAATTAATTATAATCAACATCAATAATATTGGTTTGAACTTTTTATTGTTATTATCGTTGTTGTTGCTATTACGTTCTAATTATCATCATTATTATTGATTATTACAATCAAATCACAACCAAATAGGAAATAGGGTCATATTGTTCCTGATTTTGTTTTTTTTTTCCAATCGATCAATTAATTTTATCAATTTTTTTTCTCTAGTTCTAAAGGTTTGCCAACAATTGGTAATCTAATTGCACGTAATCAACGTATATTGATTGGTTATGCATATAAATTTGATGTTAGACAATTACCGGATTCGATTATGTTTTGGCCACCAGTACAACATTTATGGGCTGATACGGATAAATTATCGGAATTAGAATCATATATACAGGAACAGATTTGTAAACCATCAAGATCATTTAATAATATACATTTATTACGTTCAATTATGGCTGAATTAACACCAACAGTTGAAGGTGTATTATTTAATCGTTATCATGGTTTACGTGAAATGGCCGCTTTAGTCAATATGAATTATGAACGATGGTTTCGTTATCGTTGGTCAAATTGTACGAATATTGTTGCCGGTGATTTTTTTCTTGGTTCCGATCTTATTGACATATCCATCGATGTTAATCGTGAACGATTTCAATCATCAAAATAATTTAAAAAAAAAAATTCTTGTTTGCTTTTGAATATTTATGTTTTGTATTTTTGGAAAAAATTTTATATTTGTTATTCTTTTTTTAGATGAAAAAAATTATTATTTTATTCTACAAATTCTAATTAAAGATGTTTTTATGATAAAATGAAAATAGTGAATGATGAAAAGAAAAGATGTGATGTGTTCGAAAAGTGATGGACAATATGCATATTTTGTGCGATTATATCGATATATAACAATGAAACATTCGATTATCGATATGAACAGGAATCATATGAATCATCATAGCTATTGTCACTACTTTTTTTGTTTGAAAAGAAAAAAAAAGAAATTTGATTTCCGATTGAATTAAACAAAATAAACATCATTTAATTATCATTAATTACTTACTAGGTTGGATAATAACTGACCGGATAAAAATAATGATGTTGATCTTGATAATGGCCACCACCACCTTTACCTTTGCTTAATAATGCACCAACAATTAAACCTTTTAGAAATTTTTTATAACCAATCGATGCATCAACAACAACGATAATAATAAAAATGATGACCAATATCGATAAACAAATTGATAATGATAATATTCTTTTTGCATGGAACATTTTCGACAATTTAGATGTTCAGATTTGTTCTTTTGTTTTCCCGAAACGAACAACGAAAATTATGTGTTTAACAGAAGAAAATAATGATGATAAACAAACTGATCAAATTCAGACGAATACAAATCAATAAATGTAAACATTGAAAACTTTATTACCACAACAACTAATATGATGATAATACATTTTTATTTAAAATTGAAACGAAATCAAAATTTTTTTTAAAAAAATTGTCAACATGGTTCGAAATTGGATTTTTTTTTCTGGTTTTTGTTTCAGAGTTGAACCACCACACCACTATTATATACTGATCGGAACGGCAAAAAAAACGGAAAAAATGAGAAAATTTGGTGAGAAAACAAAAAAGAAAATTATATGAGATTTCTCCTGTTTTTTTTCAAAAAAATTTCATTTGTGGTCATGGTTGATTTGTGTTTGAAATGAAGAAACAAAAACAAGATAAAATCCAAAGATAAGAGATCAACATTATCATCAAGTAATTTAAGTGAAAATGAAAAATATTATTATCATTTAAACCTAATTGACAAACAGCAAAAAAACAAGTTACGGTTCAACAGGTTCCTGTGATTCCTTATTGCGATTACGGGAAAAAATCAATCGACAATCGATGATGATCATCGATCCAGGATCACACACACAATCGATATATCGAATTGATTTAATTTAAAATTTTCCTCTTTTTTTCCTCACATTTCAATGAAATTCAATTTTTTTTAAACCAAAAATTTTCAATTTGAAATTCTAATTCATTTAATAATTATCACATTAATAATATTCAATCGATTTTTTTTGGAACAAACGAAAAACATTTGATTACCAAATTGATTGATTAACAGTGTTTCTGTGTGTGACCTATGATTGATTGAAATTGAAATGATTTCAAGTTCATTCGGTCAAAAATTGTTGTTTATTTGTTTTCCTCAATAAATCAGTTGATTGATTTTATTTTAATTCGTTTAGATTTTCGTCGTTCATTATTATTGATTGGTTCGATCATCATATCGGCCATAATATTCGATTCGGCTAAAATATTATAATCGATTGTATCGTTGTCATCGATTTGATTATTATTTTCGGTACAATCAATATCGATTGATTGTTTATCATCAAACAATGATTTGATTCGAAGTAATTTATTCAATTTAGCTTCAGTTAATTTCATTTTCGATGTCTTTTTTTCTGCCACCGGTTTCACATTATCATTATCACTATTATCATTGTTTGAATGTAAACGATCCAAATGTTTTTGCAATGATTTTTTATGACGAAATTTTTGATCACAATACGAACAACAATGTTTAGGATCACAATGATTTGTTCGTAAATGTGTTTGTAAAGATGTTAAACGTGTATAACTTCGATTACAATCATTATGTGGACAATGAAATTCTGGTTCAATTTGTCCGATTGATTCATCCGGATGAACTGTTTGCCGATGTAAACGTAGATTATATAATGATGAATATGATTTCATACAGATATTACATTCAAGTTTTCGATGTTCATTTGCTAAATGTTTACGTAAATCACTCCATCTATCCGTTTGATAATCACAATTTTCACGTGCACATTTATAGCCACGATGACGATGACGATGTGCATTCAATTTTGAACGTAAAATAAATCCCTGATCACAATGTTCACATTTAAATGGCATTTGATTATGTACATTTGCTTGATGTTGTTTTAGTTGAGTTTTATTTCGAAATAATAATTCCGGACATTCAATACACGAATATTTATGGCATTTATTTCGAAATGATTTTGTTGTTGTTTCCTTTTCATGTCGTCGTAAATGTTTATTTAGATAGGTTTGACATGCAAACGATGCTTGACAATCATCATGTGGACATTCATACGGTGTCTATTTGGATTTTTAATTTTAAAATATAATTTTAAGATAAAAAAATTTTGATTATAAATTAAATAATCTTAAAACATACATAACCAGTATGACGGATACGGATATGTGTTTGTAGACGAATATTTTTTCCAAAACAAGCATCACATCCTTCATATGGACAATTGAATTTTTTTCCTTTTCTTTGAATCTTATTAACAATTTCATTATCACTATTATTTTGTACAATAATATCACCATTTAAAATCATGATTTGATTATGACACGGGGAAAAAATTTCATTTAAAAAACGAAAAATGAAAAACCAAAAAGAATCTCAATCGAAAAACAAAATTCTCTGCACGTGTATAACAGTGTATAACAGAATTAATGAACGGTTCGAATCGAGGAGGATTCTTTCGAGGAGGAAAATTGAGTAAAATTTTTTTTTTTGGAAGGAGGAGTTCGACAAACAAAAAAAAAAAAAAAATTAACTTTGATCAATAAAAAATTTCGGACGAGCATGCATTTTTTTTTTTTATTCTTTCATTTACG